CTAGCATTTGAAAAGAAATGAAAATAACTATTTAAATAACACAAACATTTCCTTCTTTATTAGACTCATGCAAATGAGAATCGAGGGAAGAAATGGTTAAATGTACAAACTTTGTGGATTGGATGTCTGAGACACAAGTACTTTACACCTTCTTTAAAATGTCATATTGACACTTTACAGCTTTCTAAAAAGTAATTCAAGGAACAATGTGAGGTAGATTTATGGTTCAACGTAAAAACTCGCATTTAGACTTTTGTGTAGCACATGCTAGGTAATTGGTACAGGTTTGGGGGAATTTTATCTGTCTGGGATAGCTCATAATCATCATTATTCACCTGATAAATGATAACTGAATTTGGTACACAAAATATGTTTAGGGATACCAATGAATATATCTAAATGTACCTTATAAATATTTAATGTACTGCCTGCAGTAATTTTGCACATTATCAGCATTTTATGTAATAAAAACTATTTCTCTTTCAACTTATAAAAACTCTAACCTCAAAATTATATATGTATTTCATTTATTTATACTCCAGATGTTATATTTTCTTTTATGAAGCAAACATTTATTGTGTATCTGGCTTGTGCCTTTCATGATAGACACTGGGGATACAGTTTTGAACAAAACAAAAATGACCCCTGGCTTAATGAAATGTAGGACCAATAAAAATCAACTGTAGAGTGTTTATGGAAAAAAGATAACTTTCATTCTTACTTTGATTTTGTCAGAATGTAATTTAAAATTAGGAACTATAACAGAAGTTAGTTGATCAATGTTGGTGACAAATATCAGGGTACAATTTTTTTCAGTTCAATTTAACAAATATTCATTGACTAAATATTGCTCCAAGTTTGATGATATAGATACAGCGCTGAAAAATAGCCCTTGCCTTCATGGAGTTTAGTCTAATTACTTCAGTTACAAATCATGTGCTGTATATGTTAAATTTAACACATTGGAGAGTAGTGTGGATTACAGTTTACTTACTCTGAATACAAAAAAAAAGTCATGCTTTTTTCTTTCTCTTTTTTTACTTGACTTGCACGTATTAATCTAGTAGGAAGTGTTTGAGACACAAACATACTTAAGTGTTTAGTGGAGTTTTTTAAGAAATGAAATTATACTTTTTTTCATAGAAAGTTGTATTTAATATATCTTATTATATTTAATGGTGGCATTTTTAAAGGAGACTTAGTTTTGTGAACTTGCTGGAAATATTTTTATATAATATGATAAGAAAATTCATAACAGATTTTTTTCTACCAATTATTTCAATGACCAAGAATCTATTTGTGTCTCTCTTTATTTACTGTGATATATTTCCTACAGGGAAAGTGAAATTCAATGTAATGAGATTACCTTGAACTTCTTAGTTATTCAACATTTTTTGAGTCCTTCCACACTTCCAGGCATCTTTGTTTGAATATCAATGAGGTCTGGGTCTCATTTGCCTATCTTCCTTAGAAATTGTCTTTTTGTCATGGTCTTAAAATATAATTATTAATCACTTTATTTCATGCTAATGGGATAGAAGCTCTTGGTGTAACAAAGGTGGTACCTTCTAATAAATCTTTAGTAAAACTGATAGAAACTAATCTGTTAGCAAAGATAGATTTAAAGTACAGCCGGACACTTTTCTTTTATGGTCCTGGATAAATATCTTACCAAGCTTTTCTCTTTCCAATCTTTGTCCCTTTTTCTAATGTAAACATATAATTTTTAAAAAGCCTTTATAGTCAGTGAAGGCAGACACATTAGCTATCCCTTTTGTCCAGCAAATAATCTGTGTCTTTTAACAACTTTCTTGCAGGTCAATACCTTTCCCTAGAATTTGCTTAGCCCAACAATAAATCTAACTGAATATTTCCCCACAGAAGCATATTAAATTAATATTTTAACACTGTATAAACTTATAAAATAATGTAAACCATATAAATGAATAAATGCAATTTTGACATTATTTTCTGACACGTTTAAGTAATCAGGTTGATCAAAAGAAAATGTAAGATGAAATGTACATAAAAACTTCTATAAATATCAATAAAATATACACTTTCTGATTATGAGGTTATGACATTCAACTACAGATTATGGTCTAAGCCAAACATAACAGAAAAAAAGACTATTTTCAGGGAAAATATACATATACATTACTAAATGCTAAAACTTTACAAATCCCCCTGATCCAGAATTGCTAGCAGATGCTGGGTTTTGAATTCAGAATAAAAGTCTCATCCAGATTGATCATGATTGTAGTCTTAATTTAAAATTTTAACATGTAAGATTATACTTGAATTATTATTGCCTCTTTTCTAAATCATTTTCCAAGTATAAGCCAAGCTCTTGAACAGAGTATTTCTAAGAAACAGATGTCAACATTGGGAACAGATTAATTTTTATCAAAGAACAGGATTTGATGAGATTATTATTCAGTATAATATAATCTGATTCTATTTAAATATTTTTAGATAGGAAGTTGTAGATGGATACTGTGATCTGTCAGTATGAACTATTTGAATTAAAATGTAACTCCTGAAAAATATACTCTTTCTACAATGTTTGAGCTATTACCTTTTCTCTTCACATTTCTTTTTAAGTAGAACTTTTCCAAATGTAGAGTGAAAAATAACCTTCATTTCCTGGATAGCAGTCAAAATCTCCTTTCTTTGTCACCTAATGAAGAATTATTCCTAGAGCAGAAGAGCATCACCTAATGTCTCATGAGAAAGCTATTAGTATGAGATCGTCACATTTCTTAGATAGAGACTTAATGCCAAACATTAGTGTAGAAATCCATTTTCCCAATCTTTATTACATCTTACATCTCCCCTCTGCTTTGATGAAGGTTGTATTGTTAGGTCATGAAAAGGAATGAACTGGGTTTTAGAAGTAGAAAGATTATCTAATTTCTTTTTGTTTCTTTTTTTTTTTTTTTCCCCTCACTTGAGGAAATGGATCCAATAGTCAGTGAAAAGATTAATGATGGAAATGGGATTGATTTTAAATGTGGAAACCCCTGAAATGTCAAAATTAATCTGAAGGATTTTATATATGCAAAGTACTAAGGCATTTTATATGTGACCACCAATCTTACTTCCACAAATACCTTTTTTATGTGGTTTTTTTTTTTTTTTTCCTGCGGTACGCGGGCCTCTCACTGTTGTGGCCTCTCCTGTTGCGGAGCACAGGCTCCGGACGTGCAGGCCCAGCAGCCATGGCTCACAGGCTCAGCCGCTCCGCGGCATGTGGCATCTTCCCGGACTGGGGCACGAACCCGTGTCCCCTGCATCGGCAGGCGGACTCTCAACCACTGCGCCACCAGGGAAGCCCCCATTCATTCTTTTATGCCCCTTTTTGGTTTAAGGGGACTCTTAAAGGTTTAGCTTGGGATACTGCACAGGAGAGGTGATTTTCTTAAGGCCAGCACAAGAGATGGAGTTAGTTGCCTTCCCAATATCACGGACCTCTTCTTCCTCACTAACACCCCTGCACATTTGGCTTTTGTTTGAATAACAATATGTTCACCTACATACTTGCTCACTCAGCCTCTCTTGCAGTAGGAATGACCATGGGATATTGTTCTGGCCATTGTAATGCAGACATAATCCTTGGGGAAAGCATGTCTTTCCAAATCGAAAGTTGAAGCTTCACCAGGAGGAAGTCTCCTGCTTGCTCTTCTGTCTTTACCTTGCCTTGAATTCAAACAAACACCTTTAGATGCAGCAGCCATCTTATGCCTTGTATGAATAAAGCCAACATATATAGCAGGTTGTGGGTACTGCAGAACAGCTAAACTAATATCCACACTGCCTCCGATAGGTTTCTTATTATGTGAGAAAAATCATCCCTTATCTATATAAATTACTGTTAATTGGACTTTTGTTATTTGTATCTGGATGCTTTATGGACTGATATATGATTTCTTTTACCTTGTTCTTGTATTGGACAAGAAGAAAAAATGTGGTAGATATTGGGTAGGAAGATGCTATGTGTATTTCTCGCCAATTTCTTAAAATGATAAGAATAGCATTTTCAGAGGGAATATCTACCTTTTTTCTGGATAACCTAAAGGTATCTGAATGAGAATCTATGTATATGATCAGCCATTGTTCAGAGAGGACAAGTTATTGATTAAGGCTAGAGTAGTGAAATAGAGAATCAAGTAAAACTTGGCTCTGATGCACATAATCCCACAATCTTGCCCTTATTCCAATGAACCAGAGCGTTTTTATGATATCTTGCTGTGTGTTGTTCTTAACGAATAATTGGCAATTCTGTTGACTACATTTGAGATGAACAGAGAACACTTTTGTGATTGAAGCACTAATTTTGGCTTCCACTTTGTGCTAATTACTTACCTAACTGATTCCTGTCAATGTCACATTGACTGAAACAATATTTTTAAGGGAAATTTGACAATTTGTAGCAAAAGTCTTAAAAATATTCACAATCTGGCTTAAAAATATTCACAATCTGTGAATGTTATTTATAGAAAGAATTTTAAAGAACTAATCAGAGATAAACAAGTTAAATTACCAATAAGAAGGGATTGGTTAAATAAGTACTGTTTAAGTTATACCCTGACATATTATATGCTCCTTGGAAATAACATAGAATAATATTTAATTACCATTGAATACTCACCAGTTAGTATTAACAAAACTAGCGGGTTATGAATATTATATGCAATATTATTCCAATTTCAGAGGAAATAAAAAAAGACTGATAGCATCTGTACCAAAAAGTGAAGAGTATTTCTCTCTGAGTGCTTGAATTATGAGTGGTTGTTTTTCTTTGTATTGTTCAATGTTTTCAAATTTCTGCAACCTATATGGCTCAGGAAAAAGATATTTTTAAAGATATCTTGGCTATTAACAAAGTAACTGTAATTTAACACTGAAAATAGCTTAACAGTAAATCATTTTTATTGACTACCTTTTATCATCAAAAAGTTTGACAAAAAATCTATGTTTGTTTGTTTGTTTTAATACAGAAATCCTAAATGGTGGAGTCTATGTAGACCAGAACAAGTTTCTTTGTTATACAGACACAATTCATTGGCAAGATATTGTTCGGAATCCATGGCCTTCCAACCTGACTCTGGTGTCAACAAATGGTAGCTCAGGATGTGAGTAGCATTATCCTTTTTAATGTCTCAAAAGATTCTTCTACCTCTTGCTTTCACAAGAATGGCTTATGTTTATCATGTCATTAATAGTGTTTTGAATTTTGACTGCATCCATTGAAATGTTTAGTTATGTATGACAGGACATTCTTTTTGCTTCTAGTTAACTCTCTTTTTAGAATGATACTCCCCCTTTACAAATTCTCATTGTCTTAACCTGATCCCTTTTGCTAAATCTAAATTATTTTACCATATTTCTAATGTCTAAGCATATGGCCCATTGTCCATAAACTTAAGGCTGGTGTGTAACTGCTACTTCAACTCTTTGTGACTCATATACCACTGAGAAAAAGGTAGTAGAACAAAAATGTACTTTCCTATTCACTGAATTTTTTAGGTAAGAAATAAAAACCAGTGAAAATTTTAGAATTCCTAAGTCTTCATTTACCCCTAAAACCTTCATGGTAGTACCTTATGACAGTTCTAAACACTATAAATAGAATGGAGAAATATATATTTCATACAGAAGAAATATATATTACATTCTGGTTTTAGTCATTAGCCTAATAAACTAGCCAATTTCCCATTCTTAAAGTGTATAGTATTTCTACAACAGAGGATTTATTAGATTCAAACTGTTTAATATGATTAAATGATAAGCAAGTAATATTTGAACTCTCATTAAAGCTTTTGGAAATTATTCTGCTGGGAATCTGTTTCACTTTTATACAGCAGGCTATGTTGTCCCCACATTTATTATTACTGACATATGTATGAGAACAGAATCTTTATCAAGAATTACCCTGGGTTTTATATTTCTCATCTATTATTATATGTTTTCCATCTGAAATCATAACTATTTTCATACAGTTCAATGATTATTTGCAATAGTACTGATTGTGTTATAGCACTTTTGTAGGAAATCAAATTCCAAGGGACAATTATTAAACTTCTTGATGGTCCTAATAACAGAGAAATATGAATATACTTGACAAAACTGACAGCTGTGTTTCTAATAAGTGGCTAAAACTTTCTTTAAAAAGTAAAGTAACATAATTTGCTTGTCACCTTTAAGCAGAAATTTGTATGAGATATCATCTTTGTTCAACAGTGTTCAAGTTGCATACCTTGTAAAATTACATGTGAATGAGAAATTGAATCTGTCCACACTAACAAAGCAAATGATGTGCTTCAGACATGGCTTCCATTTTTCAGTCTGCCCATACCGCAGTACACTTTATATGAGGGGGGAAATTCATAACGTTTGGATAAGAGGAAAGGCCTACTGACTTTCAGATTATTAGTTATTAGCCTATAATGCATGAATGAGATCAGGCAAGAATAAAGCCCAAGATAGAAGCCAAAGGGAATGTGTCCACCAGCCTTACAGGATGTGGAGCAGGAAAGGTGTGAGGGATTTACTGCACTTTCACAGATGGTATCTCTTTGTGTTATTCTTTTGAGGGCAAATTTGGATGTTTGTGGCTATAATTAGGCACCAGTAGCTGTATTTTTTTTGCATGCAAATAATTGCAGGTACAAAAACTATAAATGCAGAGTAGAATCATAACAAATGATTCTTTACAGATTAGCCATCAATTGCTTGTTGAAGTTTTATTCTTTACATATGAGTTTTATTTGCTGACACATTATATACAGTGCATGATACCGTATCTGATAATAATAAATTGGCTGGCCTTGAATAGTGGTTTCCCATGGCTTTATCCTGAGTCAGTTTCTTCACTTGCCTTCTCCCCATGGGTGATTACTGGCTGTTCTCATGGTTTAAAATTCAGCTTCCCCACTAAGTACCAGAACTACCCACCACCAACCAATCAAATCACCCAAGTTAAGATGTTGGTAGGCATCACTGAGTTCACCTTATCTTTGGTTCTTGACATTTATTTAATTGCTAAATCATGCTGAATTTGCCTATTTCTTCATTGTACGTATTTTTTAATACCATTGCTCTAGTTCAAGACTTCGTCTGTTTTCTGAATTCTTGGAACAGTCTCTGAATTCTTAATATTTTTTGAGGCCATGACCCTTGTAGCAGTCTGGTGAACCCATAGTCCCCTTCTCATAATATTTAAAATAAATAAATAGGCTCAAAATGAATATTTTATATCATCAATTAATATGTATAAAATCAATAAATTTATAAAATAAATTATAAAGGATTACAACAAAATAAATTAAATTGAAATACACCTATCAGCATACTTTATGTGATATAGTAATACACTTCTTTATTATTATATTACATAAAGTATTCTAACAGTGGGATTAATATGTAATACAGTTTGAAATAGTAATTGACATAAATATTATTTTAAAAAGGGAAGTCACTTTAACAAATGGTGTTGGGAAAACTGGATAGCCACAGACACAAAAATGAAGTTAGATTTTTATCTTATGCTATATATAAAATTAACTCAACATGGTTTAAAGACCTAAATGTGAGACCCAAAACTAATGTAACATTTCCCCCATCAAGTTCAAGAACCTCATAAATTCTATCCACAGCCCCTTTAGGGGCCCAAGAACCCTTGGTTAAGAGCCCCTGTGTTTAACTACTCTCCTTGCCTTCAGTCCTGACAACTCCACCTGACAAAATGCCAGCAAGAGCTGTATTTAATGGAAATCTAACCATGACCTTGTCTAAAAACACTGTCACTACAACTGACTAATGTAGGGTCAAAACCAACAACTTGGAGTTTTCAGCAGATTCCTACTTATTTTCCCCCTTTATAGAATGAGTTCTTAAAATTTCTTTGTCTTCACTGCCCTTCCTCTTTTGTTTGCTGGGCAAATTTTATTCATACTTTAAGATACTCATCAGTTGTTATCTCTTCTAAGAAGTGTTCTCTTCTATAAGCGAGATTAGGTAACTTTTCCTGTGTAACCCTATAATAACCAGTGCTGAACCCTAGCATTGTCTCACTCTAAAATGAAAAGTCCTTGTGGACAAGGTCCAATTCATCATCCTGTCCTCTGTTCTAGCACATGATAGATGGATAACAGATATATACTGAATAAATAGATAAATAAATGAAATAGATCAGGTCATAAATAGGAAAATCAGATGAATTCAAGTTATATTTTATTCCATCCATCACTTATATTTAAGAGAATGGATGTGAAGAATAAATTATAATCCACAGACAGGTATTTTATCCATTTCAAGTCTATATCAGGTAAAGATGGCAATACACATGTATATGCTTAATCTAATTTATACTTATATAATTATGTTACACTATTTCTATTAATTATATTTATGTTCTATTTATATTTTATTATATTTATAATAATTATAAGATAAAATACGTTTCTACTTTTCCTTTAGTGTTTGGAGACACTGATTTGTTTATAATTGTAAATATGTTCAAATCACATAATTTTGACAAAGAATTTAAGGATAATTCATTCTTAAGTGATATTTTGCAAAGTATTTCTTAACGTATGCTTTTGGGTTTTGGTACAATACTAATTCTTTTTTTTTTTTCACATCTTTATTGGAGTATAATTGCTTTACAATGTTGTGTTAGTTTCTGCTGTATAACAAAGTGAATCAGCTATATGTATACATATATCCCCATATCCCCACCCCACCCCTCTAGGTGGTCACAAAGCACCGAGCTGATCTCCCTGAATCTAAAAAAAAAAAAAAAAAAAATTCTGATGAACCTAGGGGTGGGGCAGGAATAAGGACACAGATGTAGAGAATGGACTGAGTACTAATTCTTAAAGCAGAAAAGTGCAATGTTTTCAAGAGCAACCTGGCTTTTTATTGACATACTTTTTGGCTATAATTGAAACAATGAGGAAAAGGTTTGAAGTGTGTGGAAAATCAATTTTTAAATGATACTACTTCTTTCATAATATGTTATTTTGGAATAATTTTAACCAAATTGTATTTTTCAAAATATTTGAGATACTTCAGTCTAAACTTTAGCAGGATAAAGTAGAGACGAGTGTCTTTTTTCTTGTACAGATCCCTAGCAAGACTTCTCTAACATTCTAACATCCTTGAATAGCTATGTCAATACGGCCTGTGCAACAAGCTGCCCTTCAGAGTGAAAAAAAATCATATAGTGAGTTATGTTTCACTTACCTGGAGCTCTATAATAACACTCATCAACATGAGAATATCAAAATGAGAATATCAAAATGATGGAAATTACTTGCCCTCCAATAATTAAGCAAATGGAAGTATATCAGAACCTGAACATGGAAAAATAGACAATGATATTTTCCAAGAAGAAGATGTATAGTTAAGAGAATGGATTTAGGAGGCTAACAGGCTTGTTTGAAATCTAACATTGCCTCTTACTAGTTATGTGACCTTGGGCAAGTCACTTATGCTCTCAGCACCTCCATTTCCACGACTATTAAAGGAGAGAGTCAAGAGCTGAGCTGAGCCGCTAGATTTCATGGTGGTCAGTTAAGACAAAGAACCAATAAGAAGGTAACACTCAAGCTTTTAATCACTTAAGGCAATAGTATAAGCAAGAAGCTGCAGTGGAAAAAGCACCAAGTCCTCCACCGTGCCATTTTTCACCATGGAACAGCTCCAGGAGAGAGTCAGATGGATCAGACTGATCAACACAAACACAGGAAATTGTCTCACTGCTAAGGGAGCCCCCAAGCAAAGGCTCCTGCCTGAAGTTTTATGGTAAAGCCTTCGTAGCTGCCTATGGTCAGGCTTGAAAGATCACACATAGGTTCTTGGCTAAGAGCTTATATTATCAACTTCCTAGGGTTATTATGAATTATTATGAGGAAGAAATGAGTTAATATGAGTCAAAATTTGAGTGATTTCTTATAGTAAAGGAATAAAGTGTCTTCTGATTAAGATTTGTTTTTTTCATATGACTTGACCATATGTGGACAGAATTATTTTTATATGTGACAGTTACATTTTCATTATATATTAATTAGTTGATATTCTATTATGTTTCTGTTTCATGTGTGTTTTAGCATCCAGAAGATAATATTTC